GGGGTGGGGAAAGGAAATCACTAACTGGATAGTACAGAAGTGTTAACTTCAGCGAAGGGAAAGACAATAAAAAATATAGGGGAAGTCAGCACAACCCGACTAAGGCAAAGGAAGACACTAAGAGAAACACAAGGAAAAAAAAAAAAAAATGAGGCAACCACAACAAATACTATAGCAGACACAACCCTACAACAACAGTGAAAACAAATAATAACTTACAAGCAGATAGACAGGCAGAAAGGTATGCTGAATAGGGGAAGGAAGGCATATAGGAGTATACTCACGTACATACAAGGTTAGACTGTGGATATTTTTACACACATTTGTACATGCAGCATGTATATTCATAAATATAACAAAGAACAAAGGGGGCACAGTCATAGAAGCTTCTTAGACACACCCAAACACCTTGAGGGACCGAGTTACTGGGGCTGAGGGCTGGGGACCATGGTCTCAGGGGACATCTAGGTCAATTAGCATAACATAGTTCATAAAGAAAATGTTCTACATCCTACTTTGGCGAGCAGTGTCTGGGGTCTTAAAAGCTTGCGAGCTGCCATCTAAGATACATCTACTGGTCCCATTCTGTCTGGAGCAAACGAGAATGAAGAAAACCAAAGACCCAAGGAAAATTGTAGTCCAAAGGACTAATGGACCACAGGAACCACAGCCCGTGCCCAAGAGAACTAGAAGGCTCCCAACTACCACCACCAATTACTTTGACAGGAATTACAATAGAGGATCCCAGACAGAGCAGGAGGAAAATGTAGAAAAAAATTTAAATTCACAAAAAAGACCAGACTTACTGGTTTGACAGGGACTGGAGGAACCACTGAGACTACGGCCCCCAGCACCCTACTAACTCAGAACTGAAGCCATTCCTGAAGTTCACCTTGCAGCCAAAGATTAAAAAGGCCTACAAAACAAACAATAACGTGTGAGGAATCGGCTTCTTAGCTCAGTCAAGTATGTAAGACCAAATGGGCAACACCTGCCAAAAAGCAAAGACGAGAAGGCAGGAAGGGACAGGAAAACTGGACGAACGGAAACCAGGAATATAGGGTGCAGAGGGAGAGAGTGCTACACACTGCGGGAATGTCAACCAATAGCACGAAACAATTTGTGTATAAATCTCTGAACGGGAAACTAATTTGCTCTGTAAACTTTCGCCTAAAGCAAACACACACACACACACAAAATCAGATTCCAAAACTGGAACACTTACCCATTGCTGGTGGGAATGCAAAATGGTATAGCTGTTGTGGAAAACAGTGTGGCTGTTCCTCAAAAAACTAAAAATGGAATTATCACATAACCCAGCAATTCCACTCCTAGGTATATATGCAAATGACTTGGAAGCAAAGACTCAAATAGAGACTTGTATACCAATGTTCACTGCAGCACAATTCACAACAGCCAAAAGGCGGAAACAACCTTAATGCCCATCAACAGATAAATGGATAAACAAAGTATAACACATACATACAATGGAATACTACTCAGCCAGTATGAGAAATGAAGTCTTGATACATGCTACATTATGGATGGAGCTAGGAGACATTATGCTGAGTGAAGTAAGTCAATCACAAAAGGACAAATTACTGTATGACCTCACTTATATAAAAAGACAAGAAAAGACAAATGTATAGAAAACAAAGTTTATTAGTGGTTACCAGGGGCAGAAGGGAAGGGAAAAGGGGGATGCTAATGGTGATGGAAATACGGCATTGATTAAGGGTAGGATTGCACAACTGATTATTGTAACTGCTGTCAATAAATTGTACACCTGTAAAAAGCTGAATTGGCAAAAGTTGTGTGATATATTTACAACGATGATAAAAAAGAGTAGATGCTAAGGCTGCTTATATATAACCAAAAACCTCATGGGATTTGGTTTCTTGGTTTGGAGGTTTCATGGGTCATGGTTTCATGGGACATCCCAGTTAATTGGCCTAATAACATGTTTAGTGCCTCTGTTCTATCTCCTAGTTTGATGCATAATACCCGGGGTCTTAAAAGCTCACAAGCGGCCATCCAAGGCACAACAATTGATGTCTATTTGCCTGGATCAACAGAGGAAGAAGGAGAGTCAGGAATAAGGGGAGGATATGGAATGTATAGCTAACTGCCTTCATGAACAACTGCCGCCTTTGCCAGGAGACCAGAAGACTGGATGGTGCCCTGCTACCATTACTTAACATTTTGATCAAAGATTGTATAGAAGAATCTTGATCAAAAGGGTAAAATGTAGAACAGAATCTCAAATTATCATGGACCCCAGACTTCTTGGAGACATGAAGGTTGGATGAACCCCTGAAACTATTACCCTGAGATAATCTTTAAACCTTAAACCAAAAATATCCCGAGATCATCTTAAAACTGAACAACAGTTTAGCTTACCTAGTAAAAAAGGTCTGCTTTGAGCATTGTGCTCTTTTAAGAACCATCCATATGGGATCAAATTGACAACAGCGACCTGAAAGATTAGATAGGAACCTTAGGGGGCAATGAATTTATGCTAATGGGGGAGGAACAACTCAGAAAAGGTGGGTGAGAATGGTTACACAACTTGGAGAATGTAATCAATGTCGCTAAATGGTACAAGTAGAAACTGTTGAATTTGTGTATATTCTCAACAACAATGGAGCCCTGGTGCTGCAGTGGTTAAGACCTCAGCTGCTAACCAAAAGGTTAGCAGTCTGAATCCACCAGGCACTCCTTGGAAACCCTATGGGGCATTTCTACTCTCCTATAGGGTCGCTATGAGTCGGAATAGACTTGACGGCAATGGGTTTGGTGTTGGTTTTCTCAACAACAATAACATAAATAAAATTATATATGGAAAAGAATTCAAATCCCCCATGCAACAAATCACATCACAGTTACCACATCATGAAATATTAACCACACACAGGAAAAGCCCTCTTCTCAGCTGCCTGCCCTCACGTTGTCTTCAGTGGGTTGATGGAGGGTGTAGCAACACAGCAGAGAAAACTCAGTTGTCGGCTTAAGAAAATGTGAGTCAGTTAAGACTTGAGGGGACATCTTTACTTTTAAAGAATAAACTTGTAAGAAACAGTATGCTAGGCATATATCTAAGAGAGTGAATCCAAAATTGCTTCAGCCACAATCAAAGAACAACCTTAAATCTTCACACCTGCACAGGGAAGCCGGGCTCTTGGTCACAAGTCTGTCCTTACAGCCACACCCACCCCCCCAAAGAGTAAATCATTTGTTAACACCAACTTTAAAACAGCAAAATATAAAATCAGTCATATATAATATATAGTCATACAAAACGTAAGTATTTACCTCCCTTTGCAACGGAATGTTTCCTACCACCTCTGAGATTCCATAGCTCTTTGTGCTAACATCTACTATGGCACTTGTCAAAGTGAATTGTAATTAACATTTTCTCTGTCATACCACTAGACTCAGAGTCGCTGAGAAGAGAGTCAGATTCTTTTTATCACAGGGCCACACACAGAGCTCTGCACACAGCGGTGTTCGCTGATGAATGAGTAAGTGAAATGCCACATCCAGGTCATCTGCAGCCATGTCGGCCTTTCTAATTTTGCCTACATGTTGTCTGGGAGAGTATACACTCACCCACCACCAAAAAGAGCAAAAAAAGTAGCTGCTAATATAAATGAAAACTGGAAGAAAACAAAACAAAACAACAGATCCAGGTTAATTTGTTTGAAGTCACGTTTATCAAAGAATAAACCTTTCTTACTATTCTCTGCAGCTTTCAGTTAGAGACCATAAAAATGTATCACCAGGAACAGCTTGCACTTGAATGGTAAGTGTGAGTACCTTAGATTTTGGCCTCCTTCGCTCCCCTTCATGCTGCCTCCTTCCCCTGCTTGTAGATCCTCAGATCCCTTTTGGTCTCATTTATTCTCTTCTACCCTCCTCCACCATAAAGTCACATCTTGGGGTGATTTTAAAGTGTTACATACTCTAAAGGCCCCTGCATTTACAGTCTTATCTGTAAGTGGAAGAAAAGACTCTAAATTTGTTAGAGGAAGTTTAAGGACTCTTGAAGAGCTGGTGCCTTGCTGACCTGACACCCAGCTGATGGCCTGTGTCACTTGTGGGTAAGGTCCAGCTGCATGACCAGCAACTATGGGGTCCTGCATTTGTCATGTAATGAGCACTTCTAAGCTTTCATTCTCTTGTTACAGCATTAAAGCTTTGACCATAACCACTTATATCAACTTGATCAACTTGACCTTGATCACCTGAAAAGTACTATCATAAACACTTCTGCCAAACGCTAGTGTTTTTCCTGTATTGTTTTTACCAATTACCAAATAAAATGAGAGTTCATGAATAGCTAGTTGGAGTCAACAATTTCCTGTCCTGAATGAGCAGGAATATTCCTAAACACAGCACTTCTGAATCCACCTGCAAAACACTGCATATAGAGGCCCCAAAGATCATCTTTTAATCCTATCCCAAATAGGTATGTAACTGCATTCAAGGTAAACTCAGAAGTTACTTTGTAATTATTTTGCGACTCAGCAAAGCAAAGGAATAGGAATTACTTCAGACTCCAAATAGTGAGGCAAGAGACAAATGGGAAGTAGTAATTACCAAAAACTATTTAGTTATGAGAAGGTTTTTTCAACATGAAATAAAAGGGAAAAAACTCAAACAAAATGTACAGGATAACTTTACACATGTCTACTAAAATTAAGGCCAATTTGATATTTAAGTGCTCAGTCTAGGTTAGCAACAGACTTTAACAAGGAGTAGGAATCAACAAAACCTACTCGTGACTAGCAAATGAATATATTGTTCAGAAACACACAATGCAGTTATTTTTTAGTAACAATGCCACATAAAGTGGGATTCTCAACCTAATGAGAAAGACTTTCAGCTTAATGATCCCATCTCAGAATCGGATTTTAACTATGTGACTTGCCTGTAAACTGAGTCCAGTCATCATGCTCTAGTACCTCCCCAAAGAAGAAAACAGAGGCAGAGTTACTTACTTTCACAAGCTCCTGCTGAGGCCAAATCTGAATGGGTTCTACCTGTCGAGGAGTTTGAGTTTGAATGCCATATGTGTTGAGAAAAACTTGAAGGCTGAAGCACATGGGGGAAAAAAGGAAGAGAGATTTTCAGACAGTGCATTTAGAGTTCAGGAAATGATGGCAGAGGAGGACAAAGCGAGGAGACCATGCATAACCTGGGCTACAGTATTAGCTGTTAACAGCAGCAATGTGCCGTCTGCACTGGAATCCAAAGGCCCTCTTGGATTCCCCATGAAACATCACCTGGGTGCTCTGAGGTGTGGGGGACGGCAGGGAGGACAAGCACTGATGCTGGGAATCCCGGAAATCCATTTGCACTAATTTCTCAAAACCGTACTCTAGGCCACACTGACACTGGTCATTTTAAGAGTCACATCAACTAAAACAAAATTATTATTTTTTAAATGAAAGAAATGTTTTGCTGGCACTTAAACTGACATTCATGACATCCTTGAAACCCTCTCAAGGAATCTAGGAAATTAAACCCTACTTCCATACTCAATATTCTAAGCTTAAAGCAATCTTTCCTTCTCCCCTCCCCCAAAAAAGAACACCCCACCCATCTGGGTTTCATACCGTTGGCTTTCTGCTACAAGTCCTACATGAACTACCAAATCATTTTCCAGTGGGCCCTGTAATAAAAGAATAAGGGAGGGGGAAACATTTAAGAAGATCTGGTCATCATCGGTACAATGAGAATCAAGGATGCTATTAACCATCTCCAAGCAGTTCATTAAAATGATGGATACCAGCTGACTCTAAGCAGCCGCCTTTGCTCTCCTTGCTTTCCACTGCCTACTCATCAGTCTGATGGTGTAGACAGAGTAACGGAACACCAAGGAATGGAAAGCCATAAATCTCACTGCTACCAGAGGGGGCTAGCCTGTCAGAGCTATTTTGAATGATGTATAAGAGCAGTTTGGGGACCAAGAGTCATTTTCCATCATTTAACTCTAAAGGGAGGGGGAGTAACTAAAAATAAAAACCCACTTTAGGAATTCTCTGTAAAAAAATGATTGTGAGTTAAAACTGTTGTTTGACATCTTAACCACATATAAGGCTACTCCCTTCTTAGCCAATTTTCCTTTGCCACCTTATACATAATAGCTTCATTCTAATATATAGTTCCTATGACGCAGAATGAACTACCCAGTTGACTATATAATTAACACTATGCTCATGAAATACAGGCTGTTGGACTCAATAGTTTTAATCAAAGATAGTGCTGGGTATTTGCTACTCCTTTCTGAATGGAAAAGATTCACTACAAAATATACATTGTTAAAATGAACTCAATTTTGAGTCGGTATAGTTAATAGAGAATATTAAAAAGCACCAACAAATTACAGTATTATAGGGCTCTGAAAATACTGATCAAAAATAACTTCTTTACAGGAATGAATGCAACATTCCCAATACTATGCTGTAAAACGTTTGATTTACCACGTCAGTTCCTCTCCATGGTATTCAATGTGCCACTAGAATTTACGTATGAAACACCACAGCACATATACCAGCAATAAGTATCATACAATCAAAGGGTGGTTCCCAGAATCATCATGGAAATGCCATTTCAGGCAGACTTCTGTGTGGTTTACCTGAATATATAAGAAAAAATGTAACAACCCAACAAAAATACACATTAAAAATGTTATAAATTCTATTTTTATTTGATAAAGAGCTTACAGTTTAATGTTTCTCAAAGGGATGAAAAAAAATTACTCAGAGTTTCATCAATTTCTAACACCAAATGAAAAAGATAAGCCTTATTTTTTTTTAGACGAAATCTAGTATTTACTTAGTCAAAAGGAGGAGTAACCTTAGAGTGGGCCCTTATCTACAACCTTCAAGACAATAATGGGATTCTTAAAAAGCAAACAAAAACATCGACTAGAATACAGATGATATTTTAATAATGATAAACAAGGCAACGCACTGGTTCCAATTGGCAAATTGGTATCTTCTTTTGAATCAACAGGCTTGTTTCTTAGGATAATGTTGTTCCACTCTCACAACAGAACTCTTGGATTAAAACGGCCACCACATGTTGAGTCACAGTGAGCACCTGGTTAGGGGACTAGTAGCCGGCTGAAGAACTCCTTTATTGTGAAAACTCAGCATTTTGGAAAGTTCCAAATCATGAACTGTCTACCATAAGGAGCCTGGGCCTCCACCTCCGGCCTAGGCGGGATCCCCCGCTCCGCTCTCCGCCTCCGGCCTAGGCGGGAT